TTGGTAGTTGTAACTGTTGATCATTTTGGTATTTTACCAGTTCTACCAAAATATTTTTAAAATCTTCCATGATAACTCAATTTTACATATTTTTACTCCTCGTAACTCTTTGTCACCAATTTGTTGTGGATGACAAGGGAAAAATTTTTTGTTGTTTGTTCTTCCTGTGTGAGTTCAAATCGCTCATCGCCAATTTGTTGTGGACGAGGGGAGGATTTTTCTATTTCTTCTTCTCGTGTCAGTTCAAATCACTTGTCGTCAATTTGTTGTGGACAACAAGGGAAAAATTTTTTGTTGTTTATTCTTCCCGTGTGAGTTTGAATCTTCATCGCCAATTTGATGTAGGATTCCGAGATGAAATCCCATCTCAAATGAATGACAAATGCAGGAATGAAATATAGCAAATAAATGTATTGACGCAATAATACAATTGGTAATATGGTTAGTAGATCCAGAAATGCGGTTAGTAGCAATAATAATATATATACAGTGTGGGAATTCAGTATCGAAGTATGACTTTCTTCTGAGTCTATGTGCTCGCAACTGTGACTCCTACAAAGCGGTTACCTCACACTCTCACTGTATCTCCCCCGGGTATTCACCGGCAGCAGTACAAGTACACACTGGTCGAGTCCACTTGTATGAAAAAGGGGTGGACCCCATAACAGTATCGAAACACAACTGTAATTGTGTAGCGATTTTGACACAATTTTTTATGTAATATCCTAAAAATATATGAATGTATGAATTAAAATCAAATATAGATAAAATCTGACAGAATGATAGAATAAGGAACAAATAGGAAACATTTATAAATTTAACGTTTCACTTTTACTTAAGCTTCATGAGAAATTGTTGGAAATGAGTTTTCTCTTTCATAACTTGCTTCCAAAATTTCTGAAGAATAATAAAAACATTAAATTTATAAATGTTTTCTATTTGTTCTTTATTCTATCATATATGGTTGCATTCATAGGAACTTTAAGATGAGAAGGCCAAAATAATTATCACTGTCAATCATCTAAGGCAATTCAAACTTGCTGAAAGATGGCTAAGACTCCAGTATAATGTGACCCTAGGTTACCCACTAAAAATACTTGCAGGGATGCCTATCTATGTGTAACACAGCACTGCAAAACCTTAAAAAATTGTGCAACTGTTGATCAAAACAGCCTCTGGATACAGAAACCAGAAAACTGCCAACCCAGTACCATCAAAATGAAGAGTTTCACCCACCAATTAGTTATATCCCCAAAATGTTAAGACAGTTACTTTCATTGAGACCTTGGAAGATGGAAGTGGAAACCACATTTTAAACAAAAAAGAAGAGATGGGACCTCAATTCCTGTTTAATAGACATGGCTAGAATGTGAGCATGGCCATCTTCCACACTTGTTGCTTGTAGAACACTCTTACTGCTTTCCTGTCAACTACGAATTTTAGAAACTTAAAAGCATTGTTGATCATTTTCTGTCTCCTTTGATTTCTGTTCTTTTATTCTCCTTTCTGTTTCTTTCACTCTTGGTAACCCCTTGCATTTTCGTGGCTTTTATTGCCTTGCTTGGTGTGAAATGATTAAAATATATATGAATAAAGACAAAAGGAAAACTTAGTCATGCATTGTGTCCTCTGAGGGCCTTTGTCAATGCAAATGTAAGGATTTTATTTTGTGATATGTATTTATATACAAGAACAAAAATGTTATTGGTTTTTCAAAATTTTTAAGTATAGGAGTGCTCTATTCATCATGTTAATGGAAAAATCAGGCAAGTTTATGGCGAACATGAGTTGATACAATTCAATATCTAATAAACAAAAGATTTTTTTTTGCTCTTGTATATAAATACTTGTCCCAAAAGTTTTCCTTTTATCTTTATTCATATTGTCCTTTTACAAATATACTCTATCTGAATTTTGCACAAACACACACATATATATATATATATATATATATATATATATATATATATATATATATATATATATATATATAATATATATATATATATATATATATATATAATATATTATATGTATAATATATATATATATATATTATATATATATATATATATATATATATATATATACATATATATTATATATAATATATTATATATATATATTATATATATATATATATATATATATATTATCTGAAATCCTAGGGTCTGGACACTTTTCATAATTTGAAATTTTCAAATTTTGGAATGGTAGTAAGGGTACATTTTGTGTACTAGAAACAAATGGCAACATGATGAAATTATTTCCTTCAATTTTCTTTCCAGCATCATATTCATCTGTTACAGCATGCCTATCATTTCTCAAATGATTTTCTGTGCAGCTTAATTTTCTTCTGAACTTATTAAGCTTACATAGAACTTCCTGGGAGAAAGTTTTTCAACCTACATGCTTATTTTGTAAATTGAAAGTTAAGTCACTTGTTAGCAAAAGTAATGTCTCTGTAGTGAACGTTGTAAATATTTGCACTGAGTGTGTAAAATTATGAGTATTAATAATTACAATATATTTGCATAATGGTAAATGAGACAAAAATAGACTATATAATATAAGGATGTTTAGAGAATTCCTTAGAAATTTGTCTAATCAAAGCTGAAATCATTATTTTATGATAGAATACACAATTTACCCTCTGAAATGTAATCATAGGGTCATTGAAAAACAAAAAAAATGCTTTTCCTGCTGAGTATATAGTCTCTAGTTTCAAAACAAAAAATACTAGGAACTTTGCAGATGTCTAGAAAAAAAATTTAGGTATCTGCAAAAGTTTTTTTTTTTTTTATTTTTGTTTTCTGCTATATATCCAATCTCTGGTTTTCAAAAGAAGAAAATGCTGATAACTTTCACACAACTTAAAAAAAGCATTGGAAACTTTTTCATCACTCTAATATGAAGTAAGGTAAAAACATTAAAAACTAGATTGTTACTCTTTATATGAGCATATCAAACTTATAAAGGCTTGTAATTAAGTGCTTTATTGATTCAGCTGGCTTATCTTAATTCCTTGTAATCCTCTTTGTTATTGTTTTTAAAGCTTTTAAAATTGTTAATAACTTTCTCTATTTAACACAGGAGTTATTTAATTTGCCTTAGTCATAGAAATTGACTCCAATGTGTCAGCTGAGATTATCTTTTCATCTGTTTGTTTTCTTTTAGTACAAACCTTTTTTTATCATTTTGATGAATAATTATCATCATAAAAAATGGCAGAAATTTTCTTTTTAAGTACAAACACTTGTAGTTGATTCTTCTCATTTTTGATGAATAACTCATATATATATATATATATATAATGCATTTTTCTCCCCACTGGTAGCACACTCAGTTCTATGCACAGTACAATCTTCAGGTGCTAAGTCAGTTTTAACTCAGCACCTGAAGATTGTGTTGTGCATGAGACTCAGTTATGCTAATGGTGAGGAAAAATGCATATTTATTATTAATATATAATTTATATCTCTGTTAATTTATATCAACCACTATTTTATTAACACCAGCACTTAGTGTGTAATTTTTTTATTTTATATATATATATATATATATATATATATATATATATATATATACCACACGGTTAATGCTCAGTCGCATCAAACCAGGAAACAGTAGTATTAAAAAGTGCTCAATACACATGTAAAAAAAAAATACAAATAAAAGTAAAAATAACATATAGAGCTTTATATATATATATATATATATATATATATATATATATATATATATATGCTTAGTGTAGTTAACCTGTGACCTTTTTATTTTGACTTAGCATAAATGTCTTTTTTTTTTTTTTTTTTTTTTCTGGACTTTTTAATCCAACACTTATTTCTTATTACTATAAACATCATTTTTAGTATTAAAGAATAATGTTGGGTTCAAAAATCCATTTAAATGTTACTTTGTTTATATTTTGGGTACAAGTTAGAAGATATAGTTTTCAAAAGATCCCAATAAATATGCATTCTTTAAGTAGGTAATTGAGCCTTGCTTTATTATGATGGCTTCCCATGGCTTAATTGGTAGGGCCCACTGTGTTGAAAGAAGTGGTTTCCTTAACATAAAAAGAAAATACAGGTTTGATTCCTATCTGGAGGCAGGTACATTTTTCTTTTGTAAGATTATCTCAATCTCTATACTGGTTAGCATTAATTTCTCTGTTTAATATAACCTGGATGTCAACTCTTAACATGTGTGCCTATTAAAAATAACATGTATAGTAATAAGAAATAAATGGAATTTTAAATTTTCCTATGAAAATTATTACAGTTTTGTTCTGAAACTAGTGGAAACTGTTGAAAGCATTTCTTTATGATAACTCTAAACCACCACCTGCAGAAAGTTGTCAGAAGATATGAGAATAAAAGAATTGTTGCCATCAAGAACTCCTGATCAGTCATGTTAAACTGCACATACAAGATATTGTTGGTGTGATTCTAAAAGAATGTAAGTTAACATATGCCCTATTTGCATGTTTTTCCATTTTTGAAATGAGCAAACTGACCTCTACAAACTGACATAGACAATATTCAGACATTTTGGGAAATTAGGTCTTAATTTTTTTTAAATTGTTTTATGCTTTTTTTATTCTGTATTTTTACCTTTTTTTTTTTTTTTTTTTTTTATCTTTTCACAAAAAACTATACTTAACAACCTTTTAGCCTCACACCAAAAAGATATAAACTTTTTTGTATGTGCATGTGAGTCTCTCACACCTTTGCAAGAAGATCCACATTCAAAGTCTCAAAAGTCACATACCTTTATGCTGACAGTAATTAACAAAGTCCAAAAGTACATAAACAATAATTTTACACATGAAAATTTAGTCTTATATTTTTATTGGTCTTTATAGTGATAATGTTACAACAGTTTCATTTTCTCTTAAGAAATATATGCTGTTTGTGGTTATTTGTGTATACAGAAGCAGATGACTTCATCACATCATTTCATTCTGTTTATAATAGTTTTCATTTGTTTTGTTTCAGTATGCAACATGTATGATGTGCAGTGGTTTTTATAGCAACAATTTTGGTCAGCCAATTTGTGGGACATGTCACTTATTCTTATTTTCATATGATATTAACAAAGATGAGGATGAACAAGAAGTCTACACGGAGGTAAATTTTCTTTACACAAATGTTTTTCTTTTAATTTCTTTAGTTGACATTCTAATATTCTGACAATGAAATGTTCTGACATTCTATTATTCTGAAATTCAATTCTTATCTTAGAAGATCTTTTTATAGTTTGTCCTTTGTTATTTCCATTAAATGCTAAATCAATTGAAATTTATAGATCTCTTTAGATAATTCTTTGGTTAAAAAAAAAATTCTGGAAATAGCTTTTCTACAAAATATGTGAATATGATTAAGATTTAAGGCTGTTCGCTTTACTTTGTCCAGAGTTTTAAAAATAATTTTCCAGACTCACATAATATTGAATTTTTGGTGTATTCAATGGGTAAGTACAGAACTACCATATATACTTGTGTATAAGCCAACTTCATGTATAGTGCAACCTCTGAACTTTTTGCATGAATTTTAGCCCCTCCAGAGAAAATTCCCCTGTGTATAGTGTAAGCAGTCACAAAAAATGCATGATTTTTAACCTCTTCAAAAAATTACTTGTGTATAGTGCTAATAATAAAAAATCTTGCACTATACTCGCGTATATATGGTAATTGTATTCAAATTTGATCGCTTTCTATTAGAAAATACATGAGTTTCACAGTTCTTCATAAGGACTTCTCTTTTTGCTTTCTTTTACAAAATCATTTTGGAACTGATATTACAAATTCTTTACCATATTCCAGCATGGCATAGAAATTCTCTAAGGAAACATCATATTGCTACCTTTTTTTTAATTGTCATAAATAGTAGATATAATAAAAAGAAGAAAGTTAAATATAAAACTTGATGATGCCATAGACTTTTACTTTTTCTTTAAATGGTTATAATTTCTCCATTATCATTTAGTCTGGGCATTACATTAGTTACAAAGCAGATTATATCTAATAATGTTAGTAGTATTATCAAGCATGTTATGGTCATCATGCTAAGTAGGTCACCATTGGCTCAGAGGTGTTTGTGTCAAGATGACAAGGCCTGAATCTGTCTTGGGATACTCTTAACATGATTGAATCACTTTATTTACTACCCACAGAAACATAGTTCTCTTTCTTTTCTTTTTGTCCAGAAAGCTGACTCTGATGATTCTGGCAATGAAGAACCAGATGCTGCTGCTGATTTCTACACAAAGAAAGACAAAAGAGTTAATGTTATCAAATCTCATTCGCACAAAATGGACAAACTCACGGAACGTATTTCTTCATTAACTATTGCTCGGGATTCAGACAAAGAATGCATTCCAGAGGGGCTTGTTGATTCTTTACCACCTGAAGGTATGTGGAAAAAATTAAATCATTTGTATTTTAACTCCATACTGACAAAGCAAACAATCTGGATATTTCTTATTTTATATAAAAAAAAAATAATCTTCATCCTTAGAATGTAAGCGGTCATACTTCTCCACAGGTTCCAATTAATATCTGTGAATTGTCATGACTTCTTGAGATAGTGGTTTCCCATTGCTTTCTCCATGGTTTTGATTTCACAGTTGTCCTTCTCCTAGACTGGTCACTACTCAAAGCTAGAGAAGCCAATCTCTCTTGCTATTTAATCCATAGCTTGGGAGGTAATAAATTAGAGCAATTTTTTTTTATGTATTTGCTTAATAAATCTTAGATAAATAACTCCTAGTATATAATTTGCAATATGATTCTGGTTAAAAAAAAATTGTATTTTAAATATCACCATCATGATGAACGGGTGTTCACATGGAGTCTCCATGTCTTGAGCACCTAATGAGACTTAAACTCAACCCAGACTTCAAGTGGAACTCATACATACTATCCATTGCTAAATATACTGGAAAAAGTGGTTGATTCCCTGTACCACTCCATTAAGTACCTGGCGCCTCCTGCTACAAGAGCCAGATCAGGCCAAAAATGGAGTACTGTTGCCATACATGGCCAGAAGCTACCCAGTTTTCACTTTCCATTCTCAACAGTCCTCATGGGTGACAAATTATTTTCCACCCTACAACCCCTTTCCCATAGACAAAATGTCACAAGCCTCTCACTGTTCTATCGCTATATCCATGGAAAGTGTCAAACTACATTCCACCAATTCTAACCTTCACAGCTAAGATCCACCATGCTATGTACATTGTAGTAAACCACCCACACTCCCTTCATATTCTATTGGTCAGATATAAGTTCTACTTGAGCAGCTTCTTTCCACAAACCGTTGCTTTGTGGAACCAACTCCAAAGAGGATGCTTCCCTGATCACTACATTCTTAACCTGTTCAAGTCTAGGGTTAGCCATTATTTTTCTCCTCGCATATCTGTCATAGTATGACTGGAGTTACCTCTCTGTAAACAGAAGTTTCAGAATCAAAATATAGTTGGTGGTAGAAAGGGCTACCCCTGTATGAGTACACACGTGTCCTTGTTTCTTTTGTCAACTTGTTACTAAGCATGCTATTAATAGAATAAATACTATTACATGGTGGAAATGGTGGGATGAAACTGCGAAAAGAATCCAGAATTCTACAGAGAACTGAAACAGAACAGGATGGCGATTTTTTTTTTTTTAAAGCTATCAACAGCTTCCCATCCTCACAAACCCAAGGGAGCCACCAAATACTATTACAATATCCCCATAAACTGTGCTTCTTACTTTGTAAACCTCTATCTCAAGTGGCTCTTGGGCCTTGTACAGGGTGAACATCATTATTAAAAAACAAAATTTGAAGTGTTTTTTACATTTACTATTTACTTTATTCATGATGCACTTTTTTCTTTTTTTATTTGTTTTTCAGTTTTATTGGTTGTATTCCGACATTTAGATGATATTTCTCGATGGATGGCAGGGAATGTTTGTTCTCGATGGTGGCAAATTTTAGATGCAGAAACCACTCAGACTCAGTGGGAACATTTTATTAGGCTTCGGTGGCCACTTTTCCGGCCAAATTACAAAGTCAAATGTTGGAAAACGATATATTCAAAATTGTAAGTACTTTCAGATTTTATACTCGGAAACAAGTTCCTCACTTCTTGGTTACAACTTGGTTCCTTTAACCGAAATAATGTCTTCTTGCTTGTTCTCAAATATAAATTTAAAAATAATATCTTGTGAAATATTCGTAAATATGCAGTAGGACTTTACCATCCATAGAATCTACAAATATGGGTCCACTTACCTACAGTTCACCAAATTCAAATCTTTTATCAAACTAAAACTACTTTACAAAATGATTTTTCAAATTAGTAAAAGTGTACACCTACAATCTGTAGTGCCAAATATCACCTCTAACCACTGGCATCAAGTACCATGTGAGATGTAACATGTTGCAAGCGTGGGTTTTTTTGTACATTGACTATTTTCATCTGTCACTGGTTTCCGGATGTTGTCTAGTGGTTTAACACTGTGTACCTGCCAGGATGGGATAATTGAAGAATTCTTCTGTTCATTCTAGCGGGCCATGGTTTTCTTGACTGGAGACCTTCTCAAAAGGCAAAACAATTATAGGTAGAAAGGGTAAATGGTGATGAAAAAATTGCCAACAATTCAATGCGATAGGCTGTCAAAGGTTCCAATCATTCTTTTTTGATTTTCTACTAAGATCTTAAGGTGTTGAGAAGGCTAACAGAGTTATGTTTTTGTCTGTATGTTGGATATTCTTAAAGCTTGGGGGAGAGAGAGCTAGAAAGGCAGTGTCTCTCTGGACACAGCAAACAGTTGTTAGGCACAAACAAGCTAAGTGATTATGGGCTCTGACATATAGTTTGGGGAAAATGATACTGATGGAGGTTATCTTCCCACAAAGACTAAGAAACCAGATGGCTACCATAAAAAGTACCTTCAAGGAGATATGGCCTGTTCAATAGTGTCTCCAGTCAGATTCTAGTCTCAGACATTTTGGTAAGAGTAAATATTAGGTAAAATAGTTTGCTAAATAAACACTTCCCAGATTCAGTTGAATTCTGCAGAATTTTAGTAAAAGCATTAATCTTCTCATCTGCAAGGAAATTGTGGTGATAAATGGATTAGGGAAAATTCAGTTGTACAGAATTTCCTAAATCTTACTAGGTTTAAGGTTTGGTTCAATTCCTACCGATGTCTTCTTAATAAGTATTTTATAGATTCTGGTTAATATTTTTAAACTGAACCTTCTTCCATCAGGTGCCAATCTGGTTAACTAATCTTTTAATATTTTTTTGATAACAAATTTTCGCTACTTTTTATTTAATTATTAGTTTAGCTCTAGCTGCATTCAGATGAAAAGAAAAGAATAAAAAAAGCTATGGTATGAATACTAAACTGCAATCATTTATATTCAAGGGCTGCCAGTCAAAAATTGGCTTGTTCGGCCACAGATGACTGTTCTGCATCAAGCCGAGTCTATAATGGGTGTATCCATTGTCTCACTAGACCAGTCATGAGCAGACTGAGGACTGCATACAGCCTCTTTTTAGTGAAATTTATCCAAAATATGCTTTGTTGAGTAATATTTCAACATATCCCTAGAAAAAAAAAAATAACAGATTTCAATATATAAAAAGTTATTAAAAGTAAGGTTTTCACATATTTGTGTAGTGTGTGTATTGCTTTTTGTGAACTCCTTTATGGCTGAGCAGTAAAGCTTATTGGGTCAAATGGCAGTTTCCCCTACAAGGGGAGACATGGAATCGAATCTGACAGCGGACACCTTTTCTTTACTAAGATTTCTTGAATATGTAGGCTGATAGACATAATAGACCCACTGTTTAATAAATGGAAATATTTCAAATAAGACGTGTCTACTATAATAACATTTAAAGTAATATATATATATATATATATATATATGTGCAATATTATGATTTCATTGAGAACTGTACATACCTGGTTAAATTTGGAATGTCTACTCTGAGGTGCCAAATAAGTGTCCCCGCTGTTTATTATTTTTTTATTATTCCCAGTCTGCCCAATAGATTTCTGAAAAATGTTATTTTGAAATGTGCTGTAGAAGAGAAACTATTAAACTGCAAACTTTCTTTTAGCAAAATATATATTATTTTTTATTTTGTTAAAGCATTTTACTTAAAGATATTGAACATTTAATTTCAGTTTAATTTCTTCAAGGTCTTGTTAAATTTTGAAACACTTGTTTTTAATCATTACCCAACCATTCCATTTATTCCCCACCCCCACATATATATTTTCTCACATTTTCCACCAACACTTTGTTTATTAAAACCCTTTCATTTATTATATTTTCTCACTTTTTTTTTTTTTAAATTTTGCAAGTCATCCACCCCTTTATTTGGTACACGAGAGTACATCAGCAAAGCACATGTAAATAATGAAGCTCCAGGATTACACAAATGTTATATTCTACAATTCTATAATTAACAAAGCATTGTGAGGTATTGCCGGAGTATACTATCTAAGTGATGGTGGCTTTATTAGAGGCATTACTGCTGTTTTTGCCAAAACTGTAAAAAATTATTTACTTATGTGCAATATGCTTGCATGTAAGTAATTCTTTTACTTTTTAGGTCCTGTAATAAATCTAAACAATAGTTGATTATGAATCACTTTCTGAAATATTTACTTTTGCATTATTTATCCAATGACATTCTTATATTTTTGCCAGATTAGAAAGCTCCCCTTGCAGATATTGTTTAGAAAGTATGATGCTACAGGTAAGCAAATAATCATTTTAAAGTATATTAACCCTGGAAATTTAATGAAACTCATGGTATTTAGAATTATCTATTTTGCACAGTTACACAATTCCTAAGAATTCCTAGAAATCTAAGTTTGAGAAACAACTAAAAAAGATGTTAACATAATGGAAAATTAACATTGGTCATGGTGATGCTTTCTTGATAAAATTGAATCTGAAACTCCATTTCAGTATCTTTAATATTTTTTAATGAAATATTTTCACTACTTTTTATCTAATTATTAGTTTAGCTTCAGTTGTGTTTACATAGAAGGAAAAGAATAAAAAAATTTGTGGTGTTGAACACTAAACTGCAGTTTCAAGGACTGCCAGTTAAAAATTGGCTTGTTTAGTCACAGATGACTCTGTTCTGCATGAAGCTGAGTTCTTAATAAGTGCATCCAAGGTCTAACTAAGCCAGTCATGGGCAGGCTTCATACAGGCCCTGTTGGCTTTCTGAATAGCAGGCTTAATTTTACAAGGAAAATAGCATTTATTTTTGTTCTTGTTCCATTCTCACTTGTTCACTCACACGTTCTCATATATAACAATGATTAAATACAATGTTTTTCTAATTTTGTAACATTCCATTGTAGCTAACGTTTTTAGCATTTTAAACCATTGTCAATTTTAATGAAGATCATACATGTAAACATCTTTTACTTTAGAAACAAAACGTTCATTATAATTTTTTTCTCTAAAGAAGTATTATTTTTTTTTTTATTTTTTTTTAACAGAACTTTATTTATTCTATTTTCAAATGAATAAAGTAGAAACAAATTACTTACAATGGTACATGTTAATCACATTATCGTAAGAGATAATAACAAAATTTCAGTTTTTTAATTATAGCAAAAATCTTCAAAGGAAAAAAAAATCAACTTTTTTCGATTTCTAAGACAAAAAGAGCTTTTTACCGGTGCACTTTAATACATTCTTTGATGATGCTAAGGTTAACAATGGACTTATAGCTACATTGAAACACCAGTTCCCATACGATTACCAAAGTTAAGCAATGTCAAACCTGGTCAGTCCCTAGATGGGTGACCATCTGGGAAATAACAGATGCTGTAACCTTGCAGGTGGTGCAATGGATAATGACTTGAAATTGTTAATTGGAGAGCCAAGTCTCAGTTCCTGTTGGGTTCATTATATTCACTTACACACAAATACCCTTAAGAAAGGTATGAACCCACCTCTTCCCCACCCTGTTAATTAGTAAGACTTGTATCACTAAAATCATTATTACTTTCCAACCCCACAAAAAATATTCTTACAAATCCAAAAATATTTTCTGGCTTATCAGCAATCAACCTAAAGTGTTGATAAACCATAGAAAATGATTAAATAAAATAACAAAGTTAATAATGGGAAGTAATGTTTCATTCTAAAGAAAAAAGAATGATTACTAAATAAAAAAAAAACAAAACAAAGATGGCATAAAGAATCAGAGGGAAGATTTGCAGATTGGCTACAAATTATACTTTGTTTAATCATTGATGATTTCATACTTGAAATAGTTAAGGAAACATCTATGAAAAACAGGTGCAAATATATGCCTGGATGCCTCAGTTTTTCACCAACTGGTCAGCTTCTGCTCTACACAGTGGCTTATTGCTCATCTGTGGTGGCATGAGCCAAAACTAGTGTATGTTTAACAAAAAAAAAATGGTGAAATATCACCATAGGGAGAAAAGAAAACATGCATTCTGTTTTTGATATATTGTTTTTTTTTAGGGGGGGGGAGTTCATAGATTCACTTGGTCTTCAGTGATTCTTCTGTCTTCTCTCGTGATGGACTAATGTACCAGCTCTTCCCTTCAGCCAGCAAACACTCTATCTCCTAGTCCAACCAGTCATGGTCAAAGTATCACACTCTCCTACTGTCTCCACGATTGTCTTGTGACTGCCTGATTCTACATCTCAATGGCGGTTTAGTGACTAGCCTTATCTAGAATACAACCTGACAATATAAACCTATTACCAGAATTCCCTACTTTCCACCTTTGTGGCACTTGATCCCAAAAGTTTTTATTTATTCATTTCTTTTTTCCTATTTATGGGCAGTGGGTGGTTCCTTTGAAGTTCTCATATTTTGATTTTACTGGTAGTCGTAAAACACCAGTCACTTCAGACTCTGATAAAGTCCTTTACAATCCACTTGGTGTCCTGACCTATCGAGTGGTGGAAACTTATTGTGTCTAGAAGTATAGGATGCAAGTTTACTTCTCATTGAAAGTTTGTAAATATTAACAATTATATATAAAAATCATAACATCATGCTTTAATACATTATAGGAGATATTTTAGAGTTTTTCTAAAATGATTGATGATTGAAAAAAAAATGAACTATAAAAAATAATTCTATTAAAAAATACAAATGTTTCTTGTGTTTACTCTTGTAGAGTACACCTCCTATCAAAGAGAACTCATGGCGACACAGACGATTACGTAGTGAACTAAAAACTTTAAAGACAGATCCTCCAGAAGGCATTCAGGCCACCCCATTAGATCAAAACTGTTGCCATTGGCAAGCATCGATCACTGGACCTCAGGGGAGTCCCTATGAAGGTGGGCAGTTCCTGCTTTATTTGCAAATTCCTGACAGGTGAGTATTGTCAATCTTTAGACCAACTGACTTTTTGTCTAAATCAACATTTGAAGGATAGTTGAGTGGTGAATGAAGAAGTGACTACAAAATGTATAGTTCAATTACCAATTCTCTGTGGATGTGGCATAGAAATTATTGTGCAATAACTAAATTGATTATTGTCTATTTTGTGCATATCCATACCTGCTTTGAATATCTAAGTCCTCAGCAGGACCGATCACTGGGATTCTGCGTGACCTATGCATCGATAATACTTTTATTGTTTAACTTGATTTTTAAAATCTTTTATTATACATGACTGATTTGAAATGAAATTTGATTCAGCTATGATTTTTGTATTTAATCTTTGCTTTCATCTGATTCTCTTTTTCATGGTAAAAAAAAATGAAGGAAATGGCATTTTCATATGATCACTTTAAAATATTGATCATATTGGCTGTTGGTGTGTTGTTTGTTTTTTGTTTTTTTTTTCATAATAATGGAAAGCCTAAACATTACTTACAAAAAAAAAAAAACTTAAAATAGGCACATTCCTAGAAGTTTTGGCAATAATACTTTTTCTTAATTATGTCTACAAGAAAATGCATTTAAAAAATACAATCCACCTTCTTTCCCTCTGTCTTTTTCTACATCTCTCTTTCTTTCGACCATATCCTTCTCTCTCTCTCTCGACCATATCTCTCTCTCTCGACCATATCTTTCTCTCTCTCTCTCGACCATATCTTTCTCTCTCTCTCTTTCTTCCTATCATATCTCTCGCTACATTCATCTTTCTTTTGTTTTGACTTCCCCTTTTACTACAGCAAATGATGAGGAAGAGAGTTGCTTGCCAACATGGTTTGATCTAACCCTTTAAAATTATTATCTGCTATCAAATTTCATTTAACAAATGTTTGCTTTTTAAAAGTACATAGACTGACTTCAGCTAAACTTAGTGTATAATGTATGCACTCCCAAAATTTCCTCAATAAAATATTTCTCAACATCTGATTTATTCTTCTTCATAATTGATTTTATTGAAAGTGAAGCAAAAGATGAAATGGTAATCTGAACTGTAGACTCATGAGAGTAAATAAAAACTACAGGCCAACTGCAGTTAACACTTGATATTTAATGACTTTCTCTTTAATTTCAGTTATCCAATGAAGCCTCCAAAAGTGAGATTTATCACAAAAATCTTCCACCCTAACATCAGTCGACATGGAGACATTGGTTTGGATTCAATTCACCACAACTGGAGTCTAGCACTGACCATTTCTAAAGTTCTTATCAGCATCCAGTCTTTACTGACTGATCCTTACTGTCATGTTTGTATGGAACCCACTATAGGACAGCTTTATGTCAATGATCGAAATGAATTTGAGCGAATAGCTCGGCTCTGGACATGGAAATATGCCATGCACGACTATCTCATGCCTACTGATATAAATATGAATGGCGTTTGAGCTTGTTCGTTAATTCAGACACTCCTGACCTGAACAGATTCTAAATCTTTTCTACTCAAGCCTCTTATTTTGTTAAATGTATGCGCTTCCTTTCCATTGTTCACCGATGTATAATTTGATGCATATGCTTTTCTGTTATTAGTTTGAACTAATATCCTCATCTCTTTTTTTTCTGTTAATCTTATTACAGTGTTTTGACTAGTGCTCTTGGCTTGGTGTGTGAATGTGTGTATACTCACGCACACACAGTGATAGATTCAGTTAAAACTCTTATGCTAATATGTTTTCATCCTTGTTTTAAAAGTAATTGAATACTCGTAGAGTGCAGGATAGTTGCCAAAGTTGATTCTGTCTGATATTATAATCAAGATTCAGGTTGTCTCATGATTTTGCTAATCATAGAAATATTAAGGCAGAGCAATATTCAAACGTTATTATAGTGAACATTTATTTGAAATAGAAGCCCCATTTTTTTTATTCATTTATTAAACAGTGCATGCCGAGTTTGTCAGTCTGGCATTCGAGAAACCTTAAAGAAAACATGTCCTCTCCATCAGGGATCAAATCTGCATCCTCCTTTGCAGTGGAAACTACTGTTTGATCCAACATACTTTACCACTCAGCCACGAAGGACTTCATATACTAATCAAGGCTCTTTTTACCCTATTTAAGTAAAGCACATCCTCTTCATTCATGTTATTTTTCTCTAGTGCTGAGCAGTAAAAGCATGCCAGATAAGATGGCAATTTCCCATACAATGGAGAATGCAGGTTCGATCCCTGCCAGGGAACACATTTTCTTTACTAAGACTTCTCAAATGCGCAGGCCAATAGACATAATATGCTCTATTTAATAAATGAAAAAAAAAATATGGCATCTATTTCAAATAAGAACTGTCTACTATAATAATGTTTGAAGTAATAAAAATATTAGAATAAAAATAAAGCCATTAATTCTTTAGAAACAAAGCAGTCTGTTTTATTTGCAGTACATGCTTAGTGTGCATTTGTTATAGGGTGAAGTAGAAATCTCTTTTGCTTTAACTTTTATTTAATTATTTTCTCTTATAATTTACAGACTTGTGGCTCAATCTGTTTAATAATAAATTCTCTATCGATCATTTTTGTTTTGTCTTGAAGACTTATTCATATTTTTAAAAACTTTAAGCAGCAATGTTGTCTTTTCAAAGTGATAAAACTCAAATAAGTTTAAATTATAATAGTAGAAGACAGTTTTAAGAAAATTTGAGAATTTTTTTTTGACTGAATAACTTGTAGCAATCTCAGTTTGGTTTTCACTTGAATTGTTGTTTACTCATTTTTCAAAGATTCTTTTTTTTTTTTAATCTTTTTTAAGAAATTGGAAAACTTTAGTATAGAGAATTTAGTTTGTATATATATATATATATATATATATATATATATATAAAAGACTCTTGGGAATCCTTTAGGTTTCTCTATTTAACACATGTAAATGAATCAAAATCCCAGTATGTAAGATGTTGAGATGCCTAAGAAATGCCTACATTTTGTCTTTCTTTATTCATGTAAAATAAATATGGCTAACATTTACTTATTGCTCATAATGAAAGAAGCCAAAATAAAAGTGGTGGATAGTTTGTCACATATTTTAGCTTTTTATTTTAATGTTAGGAATCCTGAAATTAAGAACAAAATATGAATTTTCTTTTCTTTCTTTTCCCCTCTCCTAAAAATAAATAAATAAAAAAAAAAATTGCACTGGTCAGTAAACATTGTGATAAAATCAACTAAAATGAGGATGAATTGCTGTGTATTTTTTTTGTTTTTTGTTTTTTTTTTGACATATGGTTCATCTTTATCCTTTACATTGGAACATTGGAATGGAATTGAAACAAATTGTATGAAATACTAGTTTGACCTTTTGTTGAAACAAGCAATTGTATGAAGTTGTTAGTGAGAGCTGAAAAGGTCTGGGTCTGACCCACTTACCAAAATCTGACCAAATGACCAATCTTGAGATTTTTTTTTTTTTTTTAAGGGTTTTTTGATTGGGCCGATAACTCTTCAGCATCTCCTCAAATATACTAATAATGTCACCAACTTACATACATACATACACACACAATGTACAGTTTATTTTATATGCTCCAACATTGACAGTTTTCACTGTTTGCATATCACATATACAAAATAAATATATTGAAATATTTTACTGAAAAATAAACCTGTGCACTTATAAGACATAAAAATCTACTTGTACTGCTACAGATATGTACGTATGCACTAAATATATTTATACATGTTTAGATATACAAACATACATTTCACCTTTTTACTAGACTAAGCCAAGCTTAGTAAATATTCATACATGTAAACAAAACTGTACATTCCCCTTTATATATGTATGCACACACATTCACATGTGTATACATCTACTTGATGAGATTTTATATATATATATAAGTATACACATTAAAAATAAAAATTTCTAATAACTATGGCTACTATGATATTCTCTACCCTGCATTACCTCATGAGACACTTTTTTTTTTTTTTTTTTTTTTTTATTGAATATGGCAAACAATTCAAGGAATAATATTTATTATTTTTATCCGGATAACAGAACTGATTTAATTTTTGATTTATTTTTCTTCTTTAAAACACAAAAATGGGAATTGACCGATCAAATGACTTTTCTTTTTTTTTTTTTTTCTGAAAATGAGAACTAGAGGTGAGATCGAGGAAAGAATTATTAACAACAACAAAAAATATTTTGGGAAAATAAATTTTATACTTAGTCTACCATTATTTGGAAATAGCTTTAAAACCAAAATGAAAATTTGTGACAGCATTTTTTTTTTTTTTTTTTTCTAATATTTTAGAAAACTGAAAACTTTTTCATAACATAAGAATTGCAAAACTTTGTAAATTATTCAGATGACATTGAAGACTAATTTTTGAGTTTCTTTGTGCTTATATAATTAAGATGGTGTCAAATTTAAAAAGAAAGAAAAAATGTTTTTAATTCTAAGATTTTGATGTATTTTAATGGCTTAATTTTAACTGCAAATGGAGAAACTTGTCCCAATTTCCTCAACCCAAACAATTACACTGGGACATTAATTATAGATATTAGCCAGAAAATCATATTAAACTAAAAAGTGTTAAGTTTTTAAAAAATATACTAGAATTGTTAAGTTTTCCAAAAATAAATTTTTTTTGACACAAAAAATCTTTAAAAAATTAGTTCCTCACAACAAAAATGATAACTAAAACTTTAATTCTTTTTTCCCCCAATGTATACTTCTGAGATGAGAAGAAAACTTAGTTATGTATTTTTTTTTCTAATATATTTTATTTTACCTTCAGTCTAAGTTTTGTTCCTTTCATACTCTTGTTTGAAATTTTATCTTTTGTTGATCTCATATTAACAATTTACTTTTAAAAAAACATGTACTATTCAAAGCATTAATATTTCTTTCGAGGTTATGGAAAAAAATATTAAAACCAACAAATTTTAATGGGAAGAGAAAATTTCATAAAGTGAATCAAATAAATGGTCATGTGACTTGTCCTTGGGTTGAATGTGGTTTTCTTTCAGTACAAAAAAAATAGATTTTTAACATTACAAAACTTTTGACATAGAACTTCTATATTTTCTCTTGTTATCAAAATTTGTACATTTTAATATCACTTTTCTGTTGTCTTAAAAATGTTGAATGTTTTTGAATTTGTTTTGTAAAGATGAGGTCACACTGAAGAAGAAAAAAAGTTTTACTTATTATTTTGAAATCTGTTGAAAGATCTGTTTATTTTTAAAATGTAAACACGGAAAAAGGCAATTTATGAAAAGAGAACTATTTTGTGATGAACTCTTTGTACATCCCAAGTGGCTGTGTACGAAAGGTTTCCAGCCTGCCATAAGTAACTGGGGGGTGGGGGGAGACTTCTATTGCTGTATGATTTTCTTTCTTTTTTTTTTTTCCTTTCAACTGGAAAGAAGTTAAAAAGAAATCTTTTGTAATAAATACATAAAATGAAAAAAAAAAAAATTATCTATTTGGCAAAATAACTCTATAATTTTTCTCTGAAATAAAGAGATTTCAAATTGGAATTGTTTTTTTTTTTTATGCTCACAAAAACATTCTTTTGAACCATTAGAAGAATCACTAAATCACAAATTTAATCAAAATTTTTTTAAATTTATTTTTTTGTAAATCTTATTTCTTTTCAAAAAGATTTTTACTTTTTTTCCAATAGGTTTAATGTCATTCACATTCAATTTTCCTCTTTGCCTACCACCACCACCACCACCAATTTTCAGCCTTGTGTAACATATCCTTTATTTTTACATATTAACATTTATACTTTAAATGCACTTTTCAGTTTTATGAACCTTAGTCTGTTATCTCTATATTCAATTTAGAATATATATTCATCCAGATGCTTAATGAATAAATCAGTTTTCCAATACACGTTTATTTTAAAACTTTTGCCATTTTGGTATTGGACATTTTGTGAATATAAAACTAAAAGGTAAAGATTTTAACATGAAATTAAATAAATTTTCTTTTTCATGAGTGAAAAAAGTTTAAATGAATTTTTAGAAGATTTATGTGAATCTAAGTCCAAAAACGTATTATATGCAAAAATCCTTGGACAATTTAATTAAATCGTCAATTTTCTTTTGGAAAACAGGATCCCCAGTTACTGAAAATCTGCTTTGAATTGTAAAATAAAAAAAATACAAGACATTATTTAATTAGAAAAGCTTTTAATTGCTTTTATGAATAAGATATATTATGGACACTATTAAGAAAAAAAAAATTTTGATTAATAATGAATTTTTACAAGATTTCTTTTCATTTTTTTAAAATTTTAATTAGAATAATTTATAAAGATTTAAAAATAATTTTGTATTAATTTGTACCGGTTAGATGACATTGTTATTAAGTAACAAGATTAGTTAAAAATTATATAAAAAATCAGTGCTCACATTATATTCAAGTAATTTTTACA